AGGGAGAGGTGGGCCCCCCGCCGAGCAGGGAGCTGGATGTGGGGCTCGATCCCAGGACCCTCGGATCACAACCTGAGCTGAAGGCAGATGCCCAACCATCTGAGCCACCCAGGCGCCCCTTGATTTGTTTTAAAAATGTATTCTTGCCAGGTGATAGCATCAATATTGTGAAAAGCCTAGCCTTTGGAGCCAGATTTATCTGAGTTCAAATCTTAGTTTAATAGCTATGTGATCACTGTCAAATCACTTTGGGGGCTGTTTCCCCATACTTAAACAGCTTAATAATGCCTACCTCATAGCTTTTTTTCACTAAAATTAAATAAGAAATGTAAGTAGGTAAGACACAGAGTAGAACATCTGGCACAGATGAGGCACACTCCCGATTTGAGTAAACCAATTAAAAACATTATTTTAGAAAATGAGTCAGTAAACATCAGACAACTACACTAGCTTCTTTTGTACTCTTGAAATATTCTGACATTCTTTGTTCGCTGTTTATTGTGGTTTAACCTGACTTCAAGAATTGGCATCGACCATCAGTTCCTGTGATTTCACAGTTACTTGGGTCTAACAGCAAGCACTGTGAACTAAAATTTCTTTAGAGTTTAGAAAAATACTCCATGACAAATGTTATAAAAGGAAAACTGAAAAGAGCCAAAGTAAAACCTACCAGTTTTCCCAAGCAAGGAGAATGACAATAATTACAACATATTTTAATTATCTTTTATTAAAAAAAAAAAAACCAACATAGTAGGATGTTTTCCTCTTTTCAACTAGGATTTGAATTTTATCCAAACCAGTAGCCAACCAATAAAGTTACAAAATGGTATAGCATTTATATAGTATTCTACCTTATTTCTCGCAACAGTAGTATGTAATAGATGATTAATATTAAGTTTGTTTTTAGTTTACAAGGATCTTATGTTTGAGACAGATGAAGTGGCTTGCTCAAGGACACACGGTCAATAAATGGCAAAGTTTGGATGTGAAGTCAGACATGTGGCTCCATATCATGTTTTTTTTTTCAGTAGAGATCACCATCATAGAATCATCTTGGGTTCTACGAAATTCTTCACATAACTCCTACATGCTTTTCCCTAACTTGCCATCTTTAGTTGTCTAAAAGACAAATCAGTTACAGTGTGACATACCTACTTAATTCCTAACCATTCAGGAATAACTGGCCATTTTGGATGGTAGAGGCTATGGCCAAATATGGGCTTATGATATTATCAGAAGTGAAAATTCAAAAGCATGGTTTCCAAAAGAAGAGCCTAGAGTGACATAAATGGTTAATTCCTCACACTTCTTCCTTTTCCCCACCCCAATACCCACATCACAGAAACACACTGATATCCACCTTTGCCAGGCTCCTAACACAGCTCTGAAGAGGTAAAAAAGGAAAGCACACTATTGTTCCACATAAATAGTACCAGGTTGTCCATCCTCCCAGCAAGGGCTAACAAAATGGGTTATCTATTCATCTTCTATTTATTATGTCCCCATCAACCCGTAGGTGGACTTCAAGACCATAAATGGGAGGACATATGAAGGAAATGAAATTCCTTCCACTAACATCCTCCCCCTCTCTCCTCATTTACAGCGGTAAGACAAGCTGACAATGACTCAGGAGCACTGCTTCCAAATGGACCCCTGTCCCCATCAGTAATAACCAAGTCTGTTCAAGTGCACTTAAGTATTAAGTTTAAAAGAAAAGATTATCAAAAAGTCCAAGTTTATTCATCTAGCTTTGTCAGGTATGTTTTTTCTTCAATCTGTGAGTCTGATCAGATAAAATTTTTGAAGGTTTACTATAACCCTCCATGTCTAACTTTTTACCCTCATTTTATAAGAAAACTAATGGAAAGATGAGATTCAATATATAGAAATGTCCTGATTACAGGTTCTAGAATATATCTATTCCATTTGGTACTGTGAATAGTGTAAACTGAACTGGTAAAACAGATTTAAATCACTGCTTCCTTCCGCAAATGGTGGCACCTTCCAAGGTGTTATCTTGAAGGGGAAGTGAGCAATTTGCTAACACAGCTGAATTGTGCTCACACTGTGTTAACCCCCAGTCCAGTTCCATCTTACATGAGTTTGAAAAATGTAGTCATAATCCCTATCAATTATTTTTCAAGACTGAAGTAAAATAAGGTACAAAAGCTGGAACTGACTAAATAACTTGGATATCCTATTACAAGTGTTGAAAACAATCCATCTCTCACCATTTCCTAAACACCATAAATGCACAGTCATACCCTACCAAGCTACTCTGCAAATTCTACTCAAACACCTGTTAAGGTCAATGAGAAGATAAGTTTCTATTAACATTCAGTTCAACTAGCTCCTTAAAAAAAAAAAAAATGCATTCAACTAAAGACAATTCTCAGAAGGATTCCTTCTTTATGAAAGAAATAGCTCAGAATAACTCAGAAGCATCAGACTTTTAAAATTGCTTCAAATCACATAAAAAGGTATCAAAATTATCATCATTACAGCTACCAAGTAATAGGCACCTACTTAATGTCTGGCACACTGTTAAGTACCTCACATAGTTTCAGTTATTCCAAAGAACCCTGCAAAGTATGTTACTACACCTTTTGGTAGGACACAGAGGCTCTGAGGGACTAAGTGACCTGCTCAAGGCTCACAACTAGTCAATGGAAGAGTAGGGATCAGAACTCAAATGTACCTAGCTACAAAAAAAATGTGTATTCTTCAAAACTGTGCTACCTCCCCATTTCACAACAGAAGAACCTAGGCAGAGATGTGAAATGATTTGTCCAGCAGTCTTATTTCATCAGAAAAGGGAGAAAACTTCTAAATGAGAACCACATTTTGAAAATCCATTGGGCACTATTTAAACTTCACTTCTTTTCAAGGAGTAATTAACAGATTAAAAAAAAGAGGTTTGAAATCCTTTTTAGTAAACTAAATTTCATCACAGATCTGCCAAGTGAGCTGTCATTTGGGGCAAGTGCCCAGAGTTAGTGGTTCTATGCGCACTATCACTAGCTTAGTACAAAGCACTTCACCCATTTCAAACACATACTGCACACCTGCACTGTGTTAAGAATCCTTCCTGACAAAGAGGGGACAAAACTAAGAAATAAGGCCCATCACAGCCCTTAAAGAGTTAACAGACTAGAGGAGGAGTCCATTTATACTACATATACAGTTATCATTAGGCAAATAGATGAAGTGTGTGAGAAATCCTAAAACAAATGTATAACATGGTATAACAGCTCAGAGAAGAAAAGGAACTGGCCTACTTGTCAGTTTTAAGTTGTGTTTGTTTACATTATGTCCCTCCCTGACAACCCTTGTAACCTCTGCCAACCTCCATCCACACAACCGTCCCATGTAGGTATGCACAACTAGGAAGAAAAGCTGTAAGAGCAAAAACTGTGACTCCTAAAAGTGACCTTGTTGCTGTAGTTTAAAAGTACAATGCTTAAGCCATAAAGACATTTTTCTTTAGCCTCATCAGGTGAAGAAAGTTGGTTTTTCAAAGCAAAACAAGGCCAACCGAACCAGAAAAACCCAGGAACACTTCCCCACATTACTCACTTCCGATGAGAAATCAATCCAACTGACACACAGAGTATTTCTCAAATTTTTCTTTTTAATTTAGCAGATGGCAATGGGATATAAAAACGGGTATTAACACATTCTGGTCATTCTGTTCCACTACCCACCTGACAGACACTTAAACTAGTTCCACGTGGGGGACTTAAACATCATAAACCAAATGAACCAAATTCAGTAGAATCGAAGCCCAAACCTGACAAGGCTTGTATTTAATGCAGGCTGCAAATCTCCCAAGAGACCAAGGAATACAGGAACTAGAACAGTGATTTATCTCAGCTGATCATAACTCCTTTACAAACTCGCAAACAATCATCTTTCAAAAACTGCACGCAGCATTTGTTCTGATCTGGACAATCCCAACAGTTTAGAAAAACAGAGTAAGATGCTTCTTCAGAAAACAAAGGGGGGGGGTGTACTGAATAAGAAAAAAAGGCACACTGCTTTTTCCTTTAGTTGTATATGCCTGAGGCAATAAACTCCCAAAATAAATTCACCCAGGAGTGTAAAAGCTGAGAACACCAAAATATTGCTCAATCCAACTTTCATTGTGAATTCCTCAGTTCACAGTAACATTTAAAAACTTAAATGTGATGAAATCATTTTGCTGTAAAAACTACGTATTTCCAAAAAACAAAATGTAAAAAACCTGTCTATCCTATCTTCTGGGGAAGAAAAATTGAGGGTTTGCCCCATTTAAAAAAAAAAAAAACCCTTCTCATATTGGTTGACTTTAGAAAAAAAAAATATATAGTGTAAGAAAGTTAGCCAAAAAAAAAAAAAATGTTTTTTTGTTTGGTCTCAAAGTATGGCTGCACTTGAACTCGGTGGAGAGCTGAGTCCGCTGCACAGTCCCAGCGCGGGTCCCCTCCGCCGGCGCGGCCCCGACCCGCGCGGCCCGGGAGCGGGCGCAGAAGGCGCCCCCCGAAGGCGGGCGCGGCCCGGAGTGTTTACCGTCCGCATCGGCCCGGGGGAGCCGCTCCCTCGCGTCCGCAGCACTTGTTCACGGAGCCCGGCAACAGGAGGGACCGCGAAGGGGCCGCGGCTCCCGGCGCCGGGGGAACCGGCCTCGCTCGAGGGGAGCCCCGCGGCCGCGCCCCCCCGCCCCCGGAGCGGCGGCGGCCCCGAAACCGGGCTGCGGGAGTGGGGAGGCGCGCCGCAGCCCGCGAGCAGACAATGAGCGAGGGGGTGACGCGGGGGGAGGAGGGGATCGGGGGCGTCCCCCACCGCCCCTTCATCCCTCGCCCGCCCCCTCCTAGCCCCGCGGCCCCGCCCCCCTCCCGGCTCCGGTCCCGGCCGCGGCCCCGAGGAGCGGCCGCAGGGGGAGAGGCCCGCGCGCCTCGCCCGCGACCCCTCCCCAAATCACAAAACTTCCCCCAACTCCGCCAACTAAGTTGCGCTCTCACCGTGCGGCGCCCGGGGCTCCCCCGCGGGCCCAGCCGGAGCAGCTCCGCACCTTCGCCGCCGAGAAGGACAATAGGCAGCCGCTCAACCGGCGGCGGCGACAGCTTGACGCAGCGGCGGCCGAGGCGACGAGCGGGCACAGCGGTCTCAGCGGAGCCCAGGAGCTTCACCGCGGCTGCTCCGGCTCCGCGCTGGCCCTCCACACAGCTCCAGCGCGCCCGCGCATGCGCCACAAGCCGCTCGGGCATGGGCGGGGCACCTGGGGAGGGCGGTAACGCCTACGAGCCCTCCCGTGAGTAAGCGCGGAGCCAGGGGCCGCGAGCTGGGATTGCTCTGCAGAGCTGCCCATCAAGCTCCAGGAGACCAATAGGAAGGCACCTGGGCGGTGCGTTCAGGTTGCTAAGGGAGCCTGAGGTTGCCCGCCGCGGCAAAGTGACCTGAGTTGGGTGGCCTGCGGAGGCTTCTCTGGAAAATGCCCACCCACCCTCTTCTCTCCGCCCTGTCTCCGGAAACCGCCCTGCCTCTGTGTGCCGGTGCTTACCTGACTGTAACAGTTACCACACGGACTGAAATGATTTACTCTTTCCACTTGGAATCACAAAGTGGGGCTTAGTCTTCTGTGGGTCAGTGCCTCTGAGCGTCATTGTTAGATATTCAACAAGTGTTTTAGATGGATGGACCATTGGATACAAGGATGGCTCTCTGGCGGCATCAAGGTTTTGACAAGGCATTCCGTGAACTTTTGGCTACTCGATCACAATCTTCCAGTTGCAAAGGACCTCAGAAATCATCTGGTGGCTTTTGAGAAATGAAGTGTGGTCCATTGGTTCGAAGAAACTTCTTCATTTTGATAGGTGTGTGTCTGTGTGTTTCAGTGTGTATTTCACTGTGTATTAGGAGGAAAATGCCTATCACATCAGACCATTATTTCATTGATGTTATTTCTTAGATCAAATAGAAAGCTATTAAAAAGTGAATCTAACTAAAGAAAAATATTAAGTAAAAAATGACACTTTATATGAAGTTCAAGAACATGCAAATTGATAGTGATTGAAGTAAAAACAGTGGTTACCTAGGGGTAGAAGGATTATTGACTGAGAAGGAGCAGGAGAGGGGCTGGAAGTGTTCTGTATTTTGATCTAGACAGTGGACGCTTAAGATTAAATGCACTTCGCACAGTTTACACATATATTTTTTATTTCCATTTAAAAAATACTGATATAGGATATGGCAAAAGGAAGAAAGAAGGAAAGAGAGAAAGGAAGGAAGAATAAAAAAGGAAAGAAAGGAACAGAAAGAAAGAAAGAAAACATAACATGACTCTTTGAAAACCCTAATCCAGGCAAGCTCTCTGCCAGGGACTGAATACCTGAGAGAGGGGTATTGTGAATACTTACTATATCAGTCACTTCCACTGTGGGGTGGCCTTAAATCTTAGAAATGCTCCTAGCCTTGAGCTGAAATTTGCTTCCCTGTAAGTGGACCTGGTTCTCACATATATTTTCCTAGTTCACTCTCACAGAATGAAAAACATTCCCAGTGCATCACGTGAAATTATTTTCCAGCCATCTCATCGTCCTGACCACCTTCCTCAACACTCACTTTATTCTGTCCTTGCCAATATTTGAAAGGCGGCATGGAGAAAGGAGTCTCCTAGATCCTAGACCAGACTCTGCCACAAAGGAGCCCACCATGAACAGGCCATTCCTCAAGAGCCTTAGTCTCCTGTAAACAAGGGAGCTAACCCAGAATATCACTTAGACTGTCATATGTGATAATCCCAGGGTCTTCTCCTAGAGCCTGACTGCTCCATTACAAAGGCATCAGCAAATAAATGTTACCAGGTCATCTTTCTGGTGACTGCTGACAACATCATTCCCTGCTCCCTGCCTCAGCAGGATTTACACCTTTCCGGTGGGCTGCATGCTGCATCCAGTGGTCTCGAGCCCAGCACTCTTCAAAACTTACTGTGCTACAAAATCACCTGGGCGATTTTGTTAAATGTGGATTCGGACACAGTAGGTCTGGGGTGGGATCTGGAATTCTCCCTATCTAACAAGCTCCCAGGTGATACTGATACTGCTGGTCTGGGACCCTACTCTGAGAAGCAAGGGTCTTCTCTAAATTTTCTAGACAGCTGAGCTCTGCGTCTTCTTTGGGAAGCCCTAAGGAAACATCCTTGCCTGCCCTATCTAAAATAACCCATCCTCGGGCGCCTGAGTGGCTCAGATGGTTAAGCGTCTGCCTTCAGCTCAGGTCATGATCCCAGGGTCCCAGGGTTCTGGGATCGAGTCCCGCATCAGGCTCCCTGCTCCTTGGGAGCCTGCTTCTCCCTCTGCCTCTCTCTCTCTCTCTCTCTCTCTTTCTCTCTCTCTCTCTCTCTGTGTCTCTCGTGAATAAATAAATAAAATCTTTAAAAAAATAAAATAAAATAACCCATCCTCCACTAGTCCCTCTCAGTCATATGACTCAAATTGTTCCATGGCATTTACCCCAGTCTGAAAAGAGCTTATTTGTGTGCTTATTACCTCTCTCCCCCCACTATCGTGTAAGCTCCCTGAAGTCTGTTTGTTTAACCCCCTCTCTCTTGCATCTATCATAGTGCCTGTGGGTACAGGAAGAACTCAAAAGGTCTGCATGAGTGAATTTGTACCAACCGAGCTACTGTGAGGGGTCCTCAAACTGAGTGTCCCCGATACTAAAGATTTGTTCTTCCAAAGTACAGCAAATATCTCCATCCAGTGTGCCCCATTTCACCAGAAAGTGATGTGGGGTTTAGTGATTTCCTCACTTTCCTTGAGTAACTTTATAAGCCAAGACAGATGCCAGGGCCTTATCAAGCACTGAGAGGATTCTATATCTCCGTACTATCTGTCCAGTTGACTTACATCTCTTGTTAACTTTATTTTTTTAAAGATTTTACTGGGGCACCTGGGTGGCTCAGTTGTTGAGCGGCTGCCTTAGGCTCGGGTCATGATCCCAGAGTCCTGGGGTCGGGCTCCCTGCTCGGCGGGAAGCCTGCTTCTCCCTCTCCCACTCCGCCTGCTTGTGTTCCTGCTCTCGCTGTCTCTCTCTCTCTCTCTGTCAAATAAATATTTTGTTTATTTATTTGTCAGAGAGAGAGAGAGCACAATGTATTTTGCATTCTTTTTATCATACTAAGACTTCAAAATAATCCAGTGTGTATGTGACACTTACAGCACAGCGAAGTTCAGATTTGCCACGTTTCAAATGCTCAAAAGCCACACATATGGCTGGTGGCTATTGTCGCAGACAGTACAGTTCAGATTGATTAATTCACATGTAGAGTCTCCATCTGGGATTTTGTTCTAAACCACAACATGTGGCTGGAGCCATAATTCCCTCACTGTACCTCTTTCACTTGTATTCCCTCATTTATTTCGCACAACGCTGGGCTGGCGCTATTATCCCCCTTTTAAAAGTCAGTCAGGCTTAGAGAAAACTAAGTAATTTGTTCCAAATCACATAGCTAGTGACTGGCACAGCTTATCTTCCAAGGGTTGAAAACTAAGAAAAAGTTACTAAATCCAATTTAGAATGGCACACTTGGGTTCTCTCACATGCCCCCCTCCCCATCTCCATTTAGAATTGTAAGGGGTCAGCCTATCAACGGAGTGGGTGCTTGGGAAAGAGCTGTTTAAGCAACTGATCCCTTGTTCAGAATATATGCCTATCACACATTTCAAAAATTCTGCAGGCACAGCTGGTGCAACCCCTCTGGAAAACAGTATGGAGGTTCCTCAAACAGTTGAAAATAGAGCTACCATACGATCCAGCAATTGCACTACTGGGTATTTACCACAAAGATACAAATGTAGGGATCCGAAGGGGTACGTGCACCCCAATGTTTATAGCAGCAATGTCCACAATAGCCAAAGTGTGGAAAGAGCCAAGATGTCCATCGACAGATGAATGGATAAAGAAGATGTGGTATATATACCCAATGGAATATTATGCAGCCATCAAAAGGAATGATATCTTGCCATTTGCAACGACGTGGATGGAACTGGAGGGTGTTATGCTGAGTGAAATAAGTCAATCAGAGAAAGACATGTATCATATGACCTCACTGATATGAGGAATTCTTAATCTCAGAAAACAAACTGAGGGTTGCTGGAGTGGTGGGGGGTGGGAGGGATTGGGTGGCTGGGTCATAGACATTGGGGAGGGTATGTGCTATGGTGAGCGCTGTGAATTGTACAAGACTGATGAATCACGGATCTGTACTTCTGAAACAAATAATGCAATATATGTTAAGAAAAAAAAAGAAGAGGATAGCAGGAGGGGAAGAATGAAGGGGAGTAAGTCGGAGGGGGAGACGAACCATGAGAGACGATGGACTCTGAAAAACAAACTGAGGGTTCTAGAGGGGAGGGGGGGTGGGAGGATGGGTTAGCCTGGTGATGGGTATTAAAGAGGGCACATTCTGCGTGGAGCACTGGGTGTTATGCACAAACAATGAATCATGGAACACTACATCAAAAACTAATGATGTATGGTGATTAACATAACAATAAAAAATTATTTTAAAAAATTCTGCAGGCAGAAACTAACCAATGTTGAAAAAAACAGAACAGTTACATGTTGAATTACAGATAAATGCGTAGCAAATGGCATTTATCATTACGATTATTGCCACCTTAGACAGTATTAACATTTTTAGGGACCTTGATGTGCATTCATTGCAAATAGTCCTCTAAAAAGGTCTTGCTGGTTTACATCCTGGCTCTTAGGGCGTCAGAGTGCCTTGCCTCTCTGACTTAAGTTCTTCTTGTATTAGGAAGACCTGGACTTCGGGCGCCTGGCTGGCTCAGTGGGTGGGAACATGCGACTCTCGATCTCAGGGTCATGAGTTTGAGCCCCATGTTAGGTGTAGAGATTATTTAAATAAATAAACAGGAGGGAAGGAAGGAAAGAAGGAAGGAAGGAAGAAAGGAAGAAAGACCAGGGTTTTAGAAGCAGCCAGGGCTGGTTTTAAATCCTGGATGCTCAAATTCTTTGTAAAGTGATCACTCCTACCCAATAGCCACACAATG